GGGCAGCGCGGGCGGCACCAGCCCCAGGGGTGTCTCCCCCGGAGCTGGCAGCAGGGCTTGGGGTAACGGGGGAAGCACCCCCGAGCCCCACGGGGAGGCCGACAAATGTTTGGCAATGCGCCGAGAGCGTCGTGGTGGGTCCCCCGCGACCTCATCGCTGCAGGCTGGACACCAGCCCCAAAGGGGTGTTGCATGGGCTGGGCTTGGGCGCCGCAGCCTGAGCCGCTCATGAAGGGAACAGCCGAGGATGGAGTAGTTATCCCAAACCTCGGCCGCTGGACGCAGTTCTGGACGGAGTGAAGGGCCGGGACCCTGGTCCTCTCCTCCTTGGCTATCCCAAGGAGGAATCTGCCTCTGCCCTCTATGCTCTGGAGCTGCTGCCTGGAGGACAGGGACCTCCTCTGTGCTCAGGTATTTGCCATGAAGAAGCAGAGGTGTAGGGGAAAGCGGCTGGAGGGGCAGCAGTGGAAGGTGAGCTCTTGAACAGGCCCATCCAGCTCATGTTCCTGCCACCCGGGAGTGAAGAAAGCCAGTGCCTGGGCAGGAGCATAAAACCTGAACAAAAGCGTGCAGCGCTTCCACCTGGCTCCAAGTACCTGCAGCTCGGTGAAGGGGAATCGCTTCTCTCCATCTCTAAGTCAAAAGGCATTTCTTTTCCAGAAGCGCCTCACCTCCTCTTGAACCAACATAAACCTTCTGCTTCCCCAGCCCCCTGTGGCAGGGGGTTTCCCAAGCAGTCACCTGTTCCACCTAAACCTGCCTTTTACAGGCTTCATCTAACACCCCAGCTCTTGTAGTTGAAGAGAGTGAAGTCTCTCCCCATGTCACCTGTAGTTTTACCTCTACCCTGTCCCCTCTTGGGCACCTCATTTTCAGATAGAGGAGTCCAGCTTGGCTGGAAGGTGGTCCAGACCTCTGGTGTCCCCAGGGCCTTTGCAGAGCCCGTTCCAGCTCTACTGAACGCTTCTCGGGATGAAGGGACCTGTGTTTGGGTGCTGGCGCATCAGCGACTTCACAGCAGCAAAAGGTTTTTCGTTTTCTTGTTCGCTCCCTTCCTAATGTCTCATTTGATTTTCTGATGGCTACTGAGCACTAAAGCTGATGTTTCCATGGACCCACCAGTCATCACCCCAAACGTCACTCCCGAGTGGTAATGGTCACCTCAGAGCCCACTGTCCAACACTAAGAGATAACACCTGCATAAATTCACCCTTATCCACGCTGAATCGGCCTCCTTACGTGGAGGGGACCTCGCTATCCTCCTCATCAGCCCAAAGTACAGAAAAAGGAAGCAGGAAACAGGACTTGTCCCTTTCTACCACCCATCATTTGCCTTCCTCCAGCTCATGGGTGAACGCAGGGCTGGCACAGAGCCATAGCTCTCCCGTCGGTCACCTCGCACCAGAACAGGGAACTCGATCCTCTCGTGCATCCCCGCTCCACATTGCTTCCGGCACACAAGGAGATTTGGGCAGGAACTTAAGGCCCAGCCCCGTGGGTGGCTGAAGCCACCTGAGCTGCCACCAAAGGGGTCCCCAACCACGTGTTCCTGGGGCACCAGTCGAGAGCTCAGGGGCTGCACCGGCGGTTGAACCAAGGAGCTGAGACAGCTGAAATCCAGTAATCCTTCGCTGCACTTCCAGCTCCTTTGGATCACTCTCACCAGGTCCAACCCCAGCCCAGCCGTCACCGGCAATAACACAACCGCAGTAGCACGGGCACAGCCAGTGCCATAGGAAGGCGTCACCCTCTAGTGACACAAAGGCATTTGCTTGGAGAAATATCCGTGTACCCTCAGCGTCGTACCGCCCAGCAATGCTTCCTGGGGGGCTGAGCAAGTTTTCCTCTGCTGAAATCATGCTGACCGAATACTCCCTGATCACAAGCTATCCCAGGCGCTTCATTTCCTTAGACCACCTTTTTCACCAGTTAACCATGCCTGACCACCCTGCCGCTCTCCACCTCACACGGAAAGCCTTTCTGAAACACAACCTGACCACAGGCATGGAAAATTTAATGCTTCCTGGGGCTGAGCAAGTTTTCCTCTGCTGAAATCATGCTGACCGAATACTCCCTGATCACAAGCTATCCCAGGCGCTTCATTTCCTTAGACCACCTTTTTCACCAGTTAACCATGCCTGACCACCCTGCCGCTCTCCACCTCACACGGAAAGCCTTTCTGAAACACAACCTGACCACAGGCATGGAAAATTTCAGCTTGGATCGGCTGCCTGGCAGAGCCGTCCGCAACCAGATGGCGGGAGCGGGAAGCCCGAGAGCTGCCGTTGTCATGGCAGTGCTGGAGCAGCCCGCCGTGATCCCCAGCGCCAGCTGCCCCCGGGAGAGACGGCAGCGGAGATGGCAGTGACCAGCTCTCCTGGCCTGTGGGGAGCTCTGAACCGAGGTGGGCTCCACTCTTCACGGCACAGGGCAGCGAAGCGGGGCTGAACCCACCGGCAGCAATCCCCACCTGCTGCGGCAGCTGCCCCCGAGCTTCTCCAGCCACGCCATCGGCTCTGCCGCTGGCCCAGCAATGCGAGAGTGCTCACGTCAAAGTAGGGGGGGGTCCTCCCGGGAGGCAGCGCTACCCCCCAGCATGCAGGCAGGCAGTCTCCTTTCCTGCAATAGGACCCATCATTCATCCCTGCCTTCCTCATCCTCACCTCGGGAAGCAATTCCCTTGCTAATAGCTCTGGCCACACACAGAGGAACATGGACGCCTTCTTCACCTGGTCAGCACCGGAGAGTCCTCTGTCTGTACGTGTCCTCACAGGCAGGATGAAGGTGTCTCCAGAGGGGAACGTTGCCCACTCTGCTCCTCGCTATTTTAGCAGTCGAGTGCGGGGCTCCGAGCTGAGGGTCAAGCGTCAACACAGTTCAGGGTGGTTCGTGGGGATCCTGCAACAGTGCAGGTCCCACATCAGCCCACTTTCCAGCTGGGGATGTTCGTCCAGGAGGCGGCAACCCCACAAGAGCAGTACCTCTTGTCTCCAGCCACTGAACCACAGTAGCACGTTCCCGTGGGGAGGAAACACCCACCCCTGATGGCAATGGGAGGGGGTCTCAGCCCTGAATTTGCAAAAGCCTCGTTGGTCCTTGTAGCTGCTGATCTTCAGTGCGTTTGTCTACAGTAGTGGGCAACTCCTCCACCACCACCTCTCCCTACCAAAAGGCCACCCACGAGCTCTTCTAGCACCTCTGCAGGTTTCCTTCCTTTAGCTGGTTCTCCAACTCCACAGCTGGCTCGCTCAGTGATCTGCTTCCACGTGAACGTAAGGGCTCACAGTACCTTGGGCAAGGGGTACCGACCCATTTCCCAGCCTCAGTAATTAACAGCATAGTGAATGTTCTCACGCTGCCTTCTGCTGTGAAAAAGAGATGGCTGCAGCAACAGCAGAGGA